AGCGGGACCAAGGCGCATCAGCGGCAGCAGTGTCCTGAGCAGGACAACAGAGGCTAAAGGTAAGACAGCATGCACAGGAAAAGCCAACAAAGGAGCAAAAGTGGAAGCAGGCAGGGCCCTAATTGTCATTACCTGCACTTAAGCTCCTGCATGGGAGTTATCACAGGCTTTCCAGATGCAGGCACAGATCCACTACCGGAACCGACATTTACTGAAGGCCTACTCTATGTCAGGCCCTGGGCTGGGCACTTGAACTTAAATGTGAATGTAGCTCATCTTGAGGACACATGTGCTTCCTCTGATTAGGCTGGGTTTCTGTAGCAACAGAAATCTGCAGGCGGGCCAATTCTATCTTACCAGTTTCCAAGATTTTCAGAGACTACAAAAAAGGTCAAGCTTTACAAGTAGAACTACATTAGCAAAAAACTGCTCTAAGACATGAAGAAAATACTCTTAAAACTTTTTAAAAGATCAACAAAATCTTCTGGCATGACTAAAACGAAAATCTTAAGAGAAAAAAACTTTTTAAGCAAGTATGTCATGCCTCTAAATGTACCTTATTTCTTGATATTGGTGAAATTCTCAAACTCACCATTCCATCTTGTATCTCACTCTCTGAGAAACCGCAAAACGATTCATCATCAGAGTCGGCATGAAAAATACTGGCCAGTTCGTTAGTGACATCTGGCCTTGGTTTCTGTAAAAATCCACAATGGTCTAACACATCTTGCACCTCACTTTCTGAAAAGCCGCAGAAAGATTCATTATCAGAGTCCTCATAAAAAACATTTGCCAGTTCTTCACTGATATCTGACCTGAATTTAGGTTTCTGTAAAATAAATAAATAAATGTGGTTGTGCATTTTTTTTTCCTTTTTCAAGAACCAATTTTCCATAAACCGTGCAGAGAGCAAATCACATTTACAAGTGCACTACAAGAGAATAGCTTTTGTTACAAAGAAAAATGGTTCAGAGGTTTACAAATGATTTCTGAGTTGTTACGGCAAATCATCAGGCATGTTAGGTTAGGCGACATTTCAAAAGGACAGAATAAGTAGCTAATCTACCTCCAACAATTACTACCTAGAACCACAGCAAAAAGTGAAATGAAATTACAGTGCATACTGTATTTTCATAACGGCTGTATAGAAATGTAAGCAAAAAGCAAGCAGTTTTAATCACGCACAAAGCATTTGAGGCATTTTGAGCACGGCAGACTCCATTCTGTTTATTCTCAGGCAGCACTTACTGTGTTTGCAAAATTATCAGAAGCAAAGCTGTCACAACTGTCATCAGAGGATGACGAGGTTTCCATGGAAATCAACTTCACATATCTGAATTTCTTGAAGTTCTTCTTTTCTCTGCGACCCTTTTGCTGCAAACAGAAATGGCAACACTATTAAATGGGTTGCTTACCACAGAATCTAACGAAAGATATCATTTTTGAGTTGAGGAGGTTCAAACAGCACAGAGGAGATACATCCACTTCTTATACCCTACACAGAAAAAGGCGGGTTTGCAACTGCTACGAAATTTTTTTCAAAACCAGGTAATAGCCTAAAAAGAGATCCCTGTGAAGGAACATTATAATGACAACTATCAATTTATTCAAATATCTGTAGAGCTACCCCTTTACCCACCTTAAGAGCCCCCAACTCTTAACATTATTATACTGAGCTCCCAAGGCATTAAAAGCTAAACTCCTAAAATCTGCCCTTAAAAAAAAAAAAAAAAAAAAAATTAAAGTGTACTTCCAGAGTACAAAATGGTAGTGATTTCTCTCCCTCAGCCCAAATCAAGCTAATGAGATCTTTCTATGTAAGCTTTGGGCTCTGTACTGTGATGCTAATTTCCCAAACGGGAACTACTTCGAGATGGCAGGCTTTCAAACAGGCCTGTGCCAATCAGGAGGGGTAGAGTGATTTCAGCACAAGTCGTTACAAATCAAATATATCTACCTAGTGAACAAATGTACAGGAGCCAAGTTAAAGGTCAAACAGTCCTCCAAACCCAGGTAGAATGCCTGATTCCACTTCAGGGCTCTATTAGGCTGGCCAGACATTCAGCTCTTTCTGCAGTCCCCTTGCTGCACAAGTCTTAAGTTTTTAGAAGTCCTTTCATAAGACACAAATGGCCTGTGGATATGAAAATGCAGCCTTCATTCATGAACACTGAATAGCCTGGCACTGCTCATCAGAATATGCAACTGGCATCTATCTCATGTAAAAAGATGGCAGTTCCTACCATTTCTTAATATTTAATGAGATTTCTTAAATGTTCTATTAGTAGTTCCTATATTTTTCTCTTCTTAAGTATAGCCATGGAGTAACAGAAGTGACTCCTTACACTGAAAACTTTCGAAAAGGCAAGCTCTGCTAGGGGTCCCACAAAAATGTCAAGATGTGAGGTGTCGGGTGAACAGAACATTCTGACCTTCCTTCTACACTTAACATTATGCATTTCTCTTGCAAATAAAATTATTTTCATGATGATGGGACCCAACCACCCAGTACTCCTCAACAGACTCCATTCCATCATCTTAGGAAGTTTTAGTCTTTTGTCCTTTTAGAAAGGCAGGAAAATGTAATAATAGGTAGAGGTACTACCTATTAAAGGAGATCTCAGAAACTCCCCATTTTCCAGACGAGCAAATTAAAGGCTCCAAGGAGGTGAAACAGATTGCCCAAGATCACAGGGGTGGAAGGAGTCTGCAGTCTCCTAAAACAGCAAAGCTCCTTGCACTACTGCAGGAATTATCACCATTCACTCATCAATATACCTGCCAGCAGTCAGACGCCCAAGACAGCCTCAAGGGAGGCATTCTATTGAAAGCTCGCAGGGAAATTACCTGCTGAGCTTTAACTAGTCACCACATGCCAAGAGTTAGTTATCAGGCAAATGTATATCTGGAGGAAAAGACCTAGAAAGAAGCAAGGCAAATGATCACGGTTGAGATGGACTTTCTTGGCAGATAGGTAATAACTAACACCACTTAATAGGTGCTTTTTTGTGCCAGGCACTTAGTATGCTTTCACATTAATTCCTTGCAACAAAGGTGGAAACTGAGGCTCAGAGCGGTGAAAGGTACTGTTCAAGTCCCACGATGGCCCAAATTTGAAACCAGGCACGTCAGAGTCCAAGTCCAGCTACACATGCCTTTCTTCATGCCGAAAGCCATTGCCCAGGTCCATTCAGGAGAGCTGTCTCTGAAACCACGCCCCCAACACGCCCTCTCCCACCCACCCCCAGGGAATCCCAGCCTTCCCATGTGTGTCCCTTACCCATATTTATTTTAAGCGTGTCACTCTCTTCCTTTTCACCCAACCCCCACCCTCTAAGCTCTTCTGGGGCAGACCCTCCGTTCCGGTTTCCTTTAGAGCAGAAAGTAACGTTCCATCAGGGCTACGTCCTGCTGCTGAGGATGGTTGGGGGGTGGGGAAGGGAGTGGGAAATGAGCAAACGGTCGGCGAACCGTTCAGACCAAGTCCTTCCGCTGCACTAAATCACCGCCTGAGACTGGAAATGCCCCCTCAAGTGTGCATAACCCAAGTTCTAAAGAGACCGATTTGCAAGACCTTTAAACTCCAAACTCCAAACCCTCAGTGGTTAGAAGCGCCTGCCGGCATGGTTGTTGCAAAAGCGGGCGGGAAGCGCGCCCAAGGACCCCCAGTGCGCGCGGGGATGCGCGCGGGAAAGGGCCTGGAGGCTGCAGGGCGGCACTCCCCTCCACGCCCCGCGGGCAGGGCTGCGTACAGCGGACACAATGGGCACCCCCGGCCAGCCCCCAGCGCACGTGCACCTCGGGCGCACGTGGCCTCGAGCTCCCCGGGGCTGCCAACCATCCTGCAAACCTCTCAAATCTCCGGACCGCCGGCGCGCCGGTTGCACACGCCCGTCTGGGGCAGCCCCTAGTCCCCGAACTACCCCCAAGTGCACAAAATCAGAGGCTTGCCTCAACGGGCGCCGCCCAGGACGGCCACCAGTTGATAAGGGCACTCCTCCGTGGAGTTGGAGGGGGTCCGCCCGTGCCCAACACCCACCGCGCCCATCCCACGCCTTCGCCCGTCCAGCCTCACCGGCACGCGGCGAGCGTCCATGCTGGCGGCTGGCGCTCAGAGCGCTGAGAGCTGAGGAGCCGCACGCGCCTCTGTCCCACCACGCAGGAGCCGGAGCTCGAGCAGCGCGGGCCGGCGGGCGGGGCGCTCAGAGCCGGGGCCGGAGGGGCGGGGCGCGGCAGGCTTTCCCGCGTTGGGGCGCAGGTCCTGCCAGCTCTGGTAACGGTCCACCCGCGCGAGAGACCCACTCGGCCCCGGAAAAAAATAGGTCCCCCCAGATATCCTGAAGTCCTGTGATAGCCGTGCAGTCCCCTAAAATCCTCCTTGGAACTGTGGTGCCTTGGGAGCTCCAGGACCACTCTCTTTACGTAGCTGCACAGTCCCGAGCGAATGGCGCGAAAATGGGTCGTATTGCCCCGGGGTTAGCAGGCTGATTTGCATGAATTCCGGGGCTGGGAGAGGAAAGTGGAGATGGGAGTAGTGGAGAGCTGCGCCGGTCTCCGCGTTTAGCACTTTCCCTGCGGTGTGCGGTTTACGTTATATGAAATAAAAATCAAAGAACCAAGCACGAACTCCACCGTTTATCAGCCCAGGCACTGTCCCTAGATGTAGCACCTCTTATCTGGTAACCGCACCATTATCTGAAGCAATAAAATGAGTTAAATCCTGATCTTTCTTTCCAGAAAGCACGGGAAGTTGTTTTATATAAGACTTGTGGTTTTGAAATGAGAAAGGGCTACTGTTAGTTAAGACTTATCTATGGGATAATAAAGTCTAGAAATTATAGAAGAATGGAAGCTAAAGACTGTGTTAATGTGGTTTGGGGTTAACGTTCTTCCATCAGAATTTAGAATTACCTAAGTCAGAATGACCGTGAGATTTTTCATTGCCCTTTGAAACGAACCTGACATTACGACGAAATACAGTGTGAGGCTTAAAAAAAATTTTTTTGTAGAGAACAGGGAAAAAAGTTGCTTTTAGAAGAAAAAGTAAAATAAATTGTGTTGCTTTAAAAGACCTTAATTATAATCTTACGTTTAAAACAAGTGCTTTAAATGAAGCATTCGCTTTCTCCTTCAAAACTTCTCTTGGGGATATTCCTTTGCAGGGAGAGAGCATGCGTGAACACACTGCGTTCCTCTCCGGGTATATTGAATACAAAAACTTGTGAATAAGCGATGCACGAGAACGTAGATTGGAAGAATCTAGTTAAAGACTTGATCGGAGTCTTCGAGCCTTTCTACTACACGCCTGATCCATGGTCACTCTGCCACAGAGCGAGGAACAAAGAACTGAGGGTCTGGAAGGTAGGCGCCAGGAGAGTTTGTTCTGTCTGGTGAAATTCCTGGCAGTAGCGAGCCCTCAATAAATATTTGTTGAGTAAATAAACGACTGCATGAATGGTGAATGAACTAAAATTGTCGTTAGTGCTGTGTCCTTGGGAATACAATCTTGTGCCACTAAAATTAAACATATGAGAATTTGGAATTGTTAAACTACATAAAGTAGGGGAAGATTAAGTCACTTTGCCTATTTATTCTGATAGGAAAAGTATTAGTCTTTCTGGGGCACCAGAATATAGTTTATATATTTTTTAAGGTTAAGATCACTGGTCTATTAGTCTTTTTGGTAATCAGGAAAATGCAAATTAAAAGAGATACAGTTTCACTCAGACTGGCCAAAAATTTAAAGCCTATTAAGACCAGGTGTTGGTAAGGACATGAGGAAATTCCTGAAATGATGTTATTAGTGTAAATGTTTCACTTGGGAGGGCAATTCAGGAATATTTAGCAAAACCACTTCCAGAAATATACCCTAAAACAAAGTTTTTCATGCTGCAAGTTAGAACCCATTGGCAAATTGTGAAATCAATTTAGTGGGTTGCAACTAGCATACTTTCTTCTTTCTTTCTGAAATAGAATGTTAAAAATAAGAGCCGTGTGAGTATTGTTTCCTGAAGCAATTGTGCCTGTCTGTGTGTATGCTGTATAAAACACATGCTTCTTGTGCTTCACCATCGACAAAGTTTCCAAGATACTGTCCTGGAGAAGGTACATTATGAGTCTTGTACTGATGCTCTCTCCTTTATTCATCCAGCTGAGGCTTGCCAACACCCATGACACCAGGCACTATTCTGAGAACTGGGACATAAGCCCAGGAAGTTTACATTCTAGTAGAGGAATGGAAGTAAACAATAAGATAATTTCAGGTGTGATAACTTCCAAGAAGGAAAAAGTAGGATAGAGGGATAGGAAATGAAAGAGGTACCAATTCAGAAAATAGAAACAGAAAGAAAAAAAAGAAAATAGAAACAGGAAAGGAGGTGTTATCTGATCAGGAACCTGAATAAAAATAAGGGAGGAAGCTATAGGAAGATGAAGGAAGTGCTGGTGTCAGGCAGAGTGAACAGAAGCCCAGTAGAGGACCATACTGGACTACAGAAAGCTAGGAAAAGAGAGGGTGAGGGGACAGATCACATGGGGCTTCCCTGGCCATAGGAAGAGGTTTGGATTTTATATCAGGTATGATAGGAAGGATTCTGATGAAGAAAAGACCCAGTCAGACTCCATGGGCTGTGTGAACTATAAACTAAAGGGGGGCAAGAGTGAGACACTTCGGAGCCCCTGGAGGAAAAAATGATGGCTTGGACTCAGGTGATCGTGGGATGGGGGAAAGTGGTCAGATTTTAAAATGTATTATTTTGAAGGTAGAGCTAACCAGACCAGAGGAGTGGATGGTTCATTCACAGTAGTATTATTTGTGTATCGTAGTAAAATATTGCCAACAACCTAAATGGCCCTCAGAAGGGAAATGGAGACATGAACAGTGGTGTATTCATACAATAGAATTTGAAGTGTTCAAAGGAATGGCATAGCTTGCTTGCATCAATGTAGGTAAATCTTAAAGTTGAATGGAAAAGCAGATTGCAAACATTTCCGTAAAGTATACCCCTTACGCAAATTTTAAACAAAAAACATACATAAGTTGTGAAAGTATATAAAGACATGTGCAGTTGGAATAGGATACAGGTTAACTCTGAGGAGGGAAAGATGGAGGAAGGAGGGGAGGGTCAGGTCTTCAATGTATGAAGCAAATATGGCAAAATGTTAAATGTGAATGGTAGATACATAAGTGTCTTTTATATTTTCACTTTCTGTGGGATTTTTTTGTATCTGAAACGTTTTATGATAAAAAACTTTTTAATTTTGAAACATTTGTTATGTCAGTCAAGATATATATTGTAGTGTTAAATATGCGGTCCCGTTATAGGGTCCTATAAATTGGAATACGAGTTAGTCTTGTAATTTTAGCCATCTCATAAAGGCTCATATGTCACTATGTTAATCATATATGGGTAAATATGTCCATTTTGAACGAAAGACACAAAATGAGTAAGAATGGAAATTCAGTGTGCTGAGATGAGGGCGCAGGCCAGAGCAAAGTTTATAGGTACATACCTGACATTTCATAAGCACACACCTGACATACACAGACAGGATCTGGTACGAGGGCTGTAAATAGAGCACATACTCAGTAACTACTTATTACTAGCCAGAATGACTGTAGGAGGAATGTTAAATCTGTAAAACATTCTAAAATACCAGTCTCCTGTTAGAGAGCTTTGAACTCCTCAGGCTATTATGAACTTTCAGGATGGTTGTGTGCTGTCCCATACCTTTTATTCACTTTGCACAAAGAATTCCATTTCTTAATATTAAGTATGATACTTGACCCTGAGGTTCTGAGCACTAATAACAAGGTGAGCTGAAGTCAACTTTGACCTCTAGATGTTTGGTTTTAGGACAAAGAATGCAACAATTAATAACATGTTATCACTTTTAGATGGATTTCAAAACAAAGCTAATGTCCCAGTAGGTGTGCTGCTCTAGTCCCACACACCTTTCCTTCTTTCAGGCAATGTAACTTGAACCCAAGCTGCTCTGTAAACAAGAGACCTTCAATAGCTGCCACACACCCAGGAACAAAGGGCTGGGGAGAGCTGTCATTGTATTTGTGGATACAGGCAGGTTGCAGTCTGTCAGGTGAAAAATCTTTATTTTAAATAACCCCCTATATATCGATTTACACGCCCCCTCCCCCCACCCCCACCCCCACGCGCCTGCTTTCAGGATGCACAAAGGCAAGAAACCCAAAAGGTCTAAGTTACCCTTCTGCTGCCAGAAGCCACTCTGCAAGAGGGCCCAGCCCATGACCACCCTGGCTCCGTCAGATCCACAAATCCTACCCCTCCAAACCATATTGGTATGTTTGCTTTTAATCATACGTCAACACCATTTTAACTAGGTCAGTTTGCTGACATCTGACACCTGATGCGAGAATGGACTATGGAAACATGAATGCAAACCTGGCCATTTTTAGGGAGAGGAAATATGTTTTCTCATGGATAAGCATTGTCCATTGTGAAATACTTGATTGCTAGTGGTAGGGCACCATTAAACACTGGATGAGATAAACTCAAGTTTTAATTACTGAATCAGTCGGTTCCAACATTATGGACATTGAATTATAACGACAACCTAACTGCCTACATGTTTATGATCCAGACTCCCCTTTAACTTGCTCTCCTTCCATAAATTTTTTTTAAATTTGCACTTAGCAAGGTTTTTGTTTGTTTGTACTCAAGAGTTTTGGGGTTGTTTTTAATTTGATCATCCCCCCACATACACTGGAAACAACTGGAGTGTGCCAAAAAAAAGGTGTGAAAATTTTCTGGGTTTTGCTACATAGACAACTTATTGTAAACTGTCCTAGTTGTGAATTTTCCAGATCATTGATTTCTTCTTCAGATCTGTTCCTCTTAAACAACTCTGTGGAAAGAGAATTGCTGTAGAGAGAGGAAGTTTAACTGTTAGCTTAAAGGAGACTTGAGGATTTACTATAGATTGGTTAAAAACTGAAGATATTGGTCAGGGCCCCAAGGAAGAGCCTAATCTGAACATTGATCTGTAGGGTTCAAAACCAGTCCACCAGCAGTCCTTAAAAAGTTAAACAGAGAATTACCATATGATCCATCAATTCCA